TGGATCAGGAATGGTGTGGCCAGCAGGAGCAGAGCTGCTGTGCCAGCACTGATCTGCCCCAGCTCTGCACACAGACATTGCTGCTGCAGCTCCAGAGAAGGCAACAAAAGGGCATCTCTGCAGAAAACTGTGCTGGGAGATCCTTTAGTTCCTTTAAAGCCACCGAGAACGCAACCCCTCATTGATGCAGTCTGTGGACACAGGGAAGGTACAGATAAACAAAATGAGAAATGGCACCAACAATGACATTTATTGTGGACAATGTGAAAAAAGTAAAGAAAAAGAATCTCAAAAATTAAACCAACAAGAAGTATCAAAAATTACTTTTATTACAAGTGATTTGCAGAAACTGGCCAGCAGTTTAATGTTCCTGAAAGCATCCAGTCATCAGTCTCCACACTGCAGCCTTGAGCTCCTGGTTCCTCAGGCTGTAGATGAGGGGGTTCAGGGCTGGAGGCACCACCGAGTACAGAACTGACACTGACAGATCCAGAGATGGGGAGGACATCGAGGGGGGCTTCAGATGGGCATACACTGCTGTGCTGAGGAACAGAGAGACCACGGCCAGGTGAGGGAGGCAGGTGGAAAAGGCTTTGTGCCGTCCCTGCTCAGAGGGGATCCTCAGCACAGCCCTGAAGATCTGCACATAGGAGAAAACAATGAACACAAAACAGCCAAATGCTAAACAGGCACTAACTGCATTGAGCCCAAAGTCCCTGAGGTAGGATTTGGAGCAGGAGAGCTTGAGGATCTGTGGGATTTCACAGAAGAACTGGCCCAGGGCATTGCCATGGCACAGGGGCAGGGAAAATGTATTGGCTGTGTGCAGCAGAGCATTGAGAAAGGCACTGGCCCAGGCAGCTGCTGCCATGTGGGCACAAGCTCTGCTGCCCAGGAGGGTCCCGTAGTGCAGGGGTTTGCAGATGGACACGTAGCGGTCGTAGCACATGACAGTGAGAAGGGAAACCTCTGCTGAAATGAAAAAGACAAACAGAAGCAGCTGTGCAGCACATCCTGAGTAGGAGATGTCCCTGGTGTCCCAGAGGGAATTGTGCATGGCTTTGGGGACAGTGGTGCAGATGGAGCCCAGGTCGCTGAGGGCCAGGTTGAGCAGGAAGAAGAACATGGGCGTGTGCAGGTGGTGGCCGCAGGCTACGGCGCTGATGATGAGGCCGTTGCCCAGGAGGGCAGCCAGGGAGATGCCCAGGAAGAGGCAGAAGTGCAGGAGCTGCAGCTGCCGCGTGTCTGCCAGTGCCAGCAGGAGGAAGTGGCTGATGGAGCTGCTGTTGGACATTTGCTGTGGCTGCACAAGGGCACCTGGTCATGGAGAAAGGACAGTGAAGAGATAGAGGAGATACCTGTAACGAAAATCAAAGACATTTCCCATAAACCCTCCTCTGTGACACACGTGGACATTGTCTTTAGTGTTTTGGATGTTTGGGGTCTTCTTTATAAGCTCCCCCTTATCTCTGATGGTGTTCCTGGATATCAGAAATGCTCAGCATTTCTGCTGCCCTGCGGTAGAACAGAGTGGGTTGTCTGATGCAAAATTATGAGCAGAGATTGGGGGAAGAAGGTCTGTTACCTCATTCTGTTTGGAGTTTCTCTGGGCTTTCACTTATCTCAAGTGGAGGATGTTCACACTCCCAAGTTCTCTGTTAAGCTCACCAGGTACTGCTGTGAGCAGATGGATCCACCACAGCTCAGCTCCACATTTGGAGCCAAGGACTCACCTTGCTCATTTCACCAACCCAGCAGCATTTTCAGTGTCAGAACACATCTGCATTTCCCCATCAATCTTATAACTCAGAGATGCTCTAGGACAGGTTTGCACCCTGCATTGAAGCTCCCAGCTTGGACTGAAATCTCAGGGAGACTTCCAAGTGTCCTTCTGATGGCATTGGATGAAGGGAGATGCAGCTCCTTCCCTGGCTGCACTGCCAGCATTGCCCAGAGCCGGGCACTGGGGACAGCTGTGTCACCCTGAGCCAGCTGTGCCCCCTGCCAGAGCCCCCCGTGCCGGGCAGCTGCTCCCAGCCCTGTGCTCTGCAGAGGGAACTGGGCCCGGGGCTGCAGAGCTGCCCCACGGCTCTGCTGCAGCTCTGCCTGCACAGGAGGGGCTGCACGCCTTGGAGCCCCGGCCCTGAGGGCAGAGGCTTGGCTGGGGGACAGGAGGGAGGGGGCTTGTGCAGAGGGAGGGGCTGCACTGGAGGGGATCCTCTGGACATCTCTAAACTCTCCCTGCCTCAGCATTTCTGGGTTTTGTTTTCTCTCCTTCCCTGATCTTCTCTCTGCTTCCTGGAGATTTTCCTCCTGCAGGTGTTTCCCTGTGTCTGATCTCTCCCTGCCAGCACTCCCAGACCCCAAATCTCTGTGCACTCTCCTTGGCCTGACAGAACCCTGCCTGTTTGCAGGGCACTGGCTGGGGGCAGGTTCTGTTTGCAGCTTGGAGCAAGGACAGCTCAGACTGAGCCTGATGGCTCCAGCAAAGGTGGTGCTGGTGCTGTCCATGGGCAGAGTGGCTGAAAGCACATGAGGGATCTCCTGTGAACCTACTGAGCACTAAAACTAACAGTTCAGATGTCTCATGCAATTGACAAAATTCATAATCAAACTTTAATATTTATCCCCCCTCCCTGCCATTCTACAATAGTAGGAAACTGAATTTAAATTCTTAAGAAATTTCCACATTTTTATTAAAATCGTTGTCTTGGAAAAATTCTATGACTGATCAGAACCTCTCAGCATCTCAGAGCTTTATGAGCATTTCACCTGCCCAGCACCAGAAATACTCAGAGTTGTACTCACAGGGTCTGTGGGCATTGGGATGTTCCAGCTTTAGGAGATCACTCCAGGAGCTGCAGCTGCATTGTCCTGCAGCCAGAGGTTCCTGTGCCAAGGGCTGGCAGTGATTCTGCCCCAGGCACTTCTCAGCCCCTTCCCAGCCCTGACTGATTGAAGCTCTCTGTGCCTCTGTGCTGTGCCCGGGCTGGCTGCAGGCAGTGCCCCAGCCCTGCTGGGCTGGGAGAAGAGCTGCTCAGCAAGAGAAATGTGCTTTTGAAGCCCTTCTTGGTTACCAGGATCACCCTCTGTGCCAGGAGCCCGGCCCAGCTCAGCAGCACAGACACAGCACAAGGACTTTAATGACCCTCTGGGGCTTTGTGCTCAGGCCCTGAACATCAGGCCCTGAGAGGGAGCTGCAGAAACCTCTCCAGAACTCCAAGTCAGAATCCAACTCCAAAGTTTCTTGGACTTTTAATGGGTCCCACTGAGGGACATGACTGAGAAAGTGTCCCCAGGCCCCAGGCAGAGCAGAGAACTGGAGGCACTGATGACAGGTGGGGACAAAGAGAAGCCAAGTCTTGGTGCCCTGGGGCACAGCAGGGTCTGTGCCACCAAGGGCTGTGAGGAGACACCTTGTCCTGAGGCCCTGGGGCCTCCTGGCACAGCCCCAGCCAGGCTGGGCACTGTCAGCCCCTGGTCCTGCCCTCAGCATCCCCCCCTAGCCCACATCCCAGTGGCCTCAAGGATCTGCTGGAAGGAGTCCCTGGGGAGCCTTGGTCAGGAATGGCCCTGGGGGCTCCTTCATGCTCCCAGGGACTGCAGGTTTTTCAAAGGACTTTGGCTTTTGCTTTTGCCTTGCAGTCTCTGAGATGTTTCTGCAATCATGGCTTCCAATTATCTGCTGTAATTAGTCCCTGGAGAGGCTTTGTCAGGAACAACACTCAGTGGGGCTCATTAATGCTTCAAGGTACTTCAGTTCTTTTAAGGTACTTGGTGTTTCCCTTTTGATACAGACTCTGGGAGAGGTTTGTGCAATCATGGCCCCAATTATCTGCTTTAATGAGTCTCTTGAGAGCTTTGTACTGACACTCAGTTGGGCTCATTAATACTTTGAGATACTCAACTTTTGTAGGGTACTTTGGATTTTCCTTTCCACACTGAGAGGTTTTTGTGCCATTTTGAGTCTCTGAGAGGTTTTTGTGCCATCCTGGCCTCCGATTCTCTCCTCCAAGGAGTTCATGAGGAGCCTGTGCTGGGGATGGACCTCATTGGCACCCATTAATGCTGTGAGACACTTTGGGTATTTCCTCTGACTTTGACTCCTGGAAAGGTTTGTGCAATCTCCTCTCAGGCCCTGAGGTTCCAGGGCTCAGTTCCAAATGCACCACGGGGCTCATTAGGATCCAGCAAGTCCTGACAAACCATTGCTCTGCCTTGATTTCCCTCTGGTCTGGGGCAGTTCTTCAGGAAGTTTCTGTAGTGGTTTTGGGTCACCAATTTGAGATTTCTCAGCCAATGCATTAATTAGTGTGGTGGGTTCAGTGTTGGCTAATTACCAGTGCACTCACTAGAATATACTTACACATTTCCTGCTGTGAGATAGGATTAGGAGAAAGGCAAAGTGGGATCAAAACTGTAAAAGGGTGTAGAGAAAAGTTTATTAACAGTAGCTAAAAGAAAGAGTAATAAGAATCAGAGGAAAACATTGAGACCACTTCCTCTCTCCTTATAACCTGACAATATAAAGAGACAAAACCTAAATTTTTCTGTCAGTTTTCCACCTCTAGAATAGTCTTTGTTCAGTTCTCTTAGGGAGAGAAGTTCCTCTTGTTAATGTTATGGAGACTTCTCCACAAGACAACAGTTATCTCATGGCTTTTCATTCCACGTATAACAGCTGCCTGGAAAAATCTGCAATCGTGAAGTTCCTCTGAAATAGATTTTTGCAGTTCACTTAAGTTAACAAAATGAATTAAGCATTTATATTGTAGCTTGTACAGTTATGTGTTGAATTTCAACCTTTTACTTAAGAAGCCTCTTCCATAGTACAAAGGGCATAAGAAAATGCAAATTTCTGAAGCTTATTACACAAAGGATGCAAAGAATCCAGATAAAGAAGCTTCCCTGTCTCCAGGCCTATCAAGACTGACAGATGTACACAGATAAGCACCGAAGGACTGAAAGCGCATGTGCAGAGAGAATTCAAAAGTTCAATCATGAAGAAGACCAGGATCTTCAGCCTCAAGAGACCACCAGAGACCCCCGCAGGACCACCATGGCAAACCACGCATGCCCAGAAGGGCCTAGACCTATTTAGCATGAGAGGCGAGGACAGGTGGGGCCAGGGGTTGAATATGCATGGGAAGGTTGTGTAATTATTGCATATGGAACACCTTTGTGAAGAAAAGTGTGGGTCAGAGTAAGGATCGGGGCACAAGTTTTTGGAGAGCTATCTCACTTGTGCTGGGCACTGGCAATACAAACCCACTTCATAACTACCCCAAGCTGTGGAGTCTATTTATTTATTCCACATATCACTTCAAAAGTATAGAATTGTGACGTTCAAAGGTAGAAATAGAAACTGCCGAAAGCTTGCGTAAAAATGGAAAATAGAAACTACTGGGAAAAGCTTATGACTATGCATGAATATGATCAATAAATACCAGCAAGCCCAATAATCGGTGTGCAGTTGGAGGGGAAAACCCCCACCACTGTGCCCAGTGCTGTCTTTGCTCATACATTACAATAATAATTACTAAATAATAATAAGTAATTGAATTAATGCTTGATATATTGGCTGAGTCAAACTTCCCATTTCTAACAGAAATTATTATGAAAAAGTGACCCTTCTTCCAGACAAATTCCACCAAGTCATTGTCTGCATTTCTCCTTTCAGATTCTTTCAGCCATCCACTGAGAGGTCCAGCTTGTTCTGCTGCTTTCCATGAACTGATTGAACTCTTGATTTATATCATTGCATGAGATGTGGAAGCTTCTGAACTGAACACAGAAACAAACTCCCTTTGTCAGCCCATGTTCATGTTCTACCTCACTTTCAAGATGTCCATGGGCATGTTGGAACGATTATCACACAGCTCTCCATTTCTGGCTGCAGGCTCTGGAGATTCTTTCTCTGCATTCCCTGACAATTCCTGGCAGCCTGTCATGGTTTCTTAGGGTAGAACAATAACAATGAAAATCTCACCAATGGCACAACTGCCCAGCCCACAAGGAAAAGAAAGAACAAGTTGTAAAATTCTTCAAATATTTGTCCTGCTGTGCTGCAAGAGTCGAGCTGCACACACGGTGTGGAAAGCCAAGAGAAGCTGCAGCTGGTGGCACATCTTGTGACAGAAGCTGCTCAAAGCTTCCTCGTTCTCCAGCAAAGGTTCTTGGAAAGAGCAAACAGGACTGTGGAGAAGATTCTGGGAAAACTGAAACAGCTTTTAAGAAATGAAATTAAAATGGAACAAAACAATCTAAGATGTTTTTCTGTTTCCTTTTATGCTCCCGTTTTCCATCTTGCACTACTTCCCCATCCCATTAATCCAAATGGGTCTCACTTCTAAGATCCATGACTCTAGACACATGAGCTACACATGGTTTGCCTTACCCTGTGATTTTTTTTTTTTTTTAAATCTGTGCTGGAGACTAAGTGAAGTGCTTGGGTCAGGTACAAATTCAGCATTCAGGGAATGAGCTGCAATAGTTTTTGACCCTCAACAGGGACAATGCACAGAAGCGCCCGAGGGGATTCCTGTGCCCCTGGGCAGGAGTCAGGACTCTGGGTCTGGGCTGAACACGGCAAAGTTCCCGTGTTGGGACAGAGGAAGGGGCTGCCCGGGGAGCGCGGGGCTGGGCGCGAGGGCGAGTGGGACGGACACACGGACACGGGGACACGGACACGGGGACACACGGACACGGGGACACAGCGACACGGGGACACACGGACATGGGGACACACGGACATGGGGATAAACGGACACGGGGACACAGCGACACGGGGACACACAGACACGGAGCTTAAGCTGCAGCGGCAGCAGCGGCAGAGAAAGCAGTGATTTTCAGGACACCCTCTTGCATCTCCTCTCCCTCTCCCGCTCTCCCGCACCCTCTCCCGCTCTCCCTTTCCCGCTGTCCCCTCCTCTCCCCGCCTCCTTCTCCCCCATGCCGGGCCGGGCCATGCCCCCGGCCCGCCCCCGGCCCCGGGCGGGGCTGCCCCGTCCCCGCCCCCGCCCGCCCCGCCGCGGTCTCGCCTCCGCCCGGCTCTGGGCGTGCTGGCAGTGGCGCTGCTGGGCGGGCATCAGTGCCTGGGGCTGGGGCGGCATCGCCGCCCTTTGGCTCCGCCTGGCCCGAGCCCGGCCCCGGCCCCGGCCCCGGCCCCGGCCCCGGCCCCGGCCCCGGCCCCGGCTCCTCCCGGGCCCCGCGGAGGACACAGCGGTGCAGTCGCTGCCGCCTCCGCTGCGGCTGCCCCGGCCCGAGCTCCGCCGCTGCTCAGCAGCGCGGCCGCCGGCCCCGAGCCGCCGCTGTCCCGGGGCCGGCAGAGAACGCCTGGGGATGGCCGGCCCGGGGCGCTCGGGGGGCGCTCGGGGCTCCTGTCCGAGGAGGAGGCGCGGGGGCTGCTCCGCAGGTGCTGGAGGCCGTGCGGCGCTGCACCAGCTGCGGGGTCCTGCACAGGGACATCAAACCAGGGAACATCCTGCTCGACCTGGCCACCGGGCAGCTGAAACTGATCGGCTTTGGCTGTGGCACCTTCCTCCAAGACACAGCCTACACCCAGTTTGCAGGTGAGCCCTGCCAGGGGATGCTCCTGGGCATCTCATGGCCCAGCCGAGGTGCAGCACCGAGGCTTCCCCTATTGCAGCTGTGATGGGATTAATGCTGAAGCCAGGTTCATTTGGGTGGGGTGTGAGGGGGTCCAGCTCCCAGCCCTGCTGATAGCCTTCAGCACCCACTGTGGCCTGGGCTGGGGCTGGAGCTGGGGCAGCCAGCCCGACAAAAACCCCATGGGGGAGCAGAGAGGGGGGTCTGACCCTGTGCCCCAGACAGTTTGGTGTGCAGGTGAGGAAGGGCTTGGACTACTCTGCTCCCCTTGTTTGCCTTGGCTTATTAACATTTATGGAGCCACGCTGGCAGGGAGGAGAGTGGGTTTCTCCACCACTGGGTGAGTTTTTCTTTTATGTGTCATGGTTGTGCCTTCCCAGGGCTTCTGCTGCCCTCTTCCAGCACCAGTGGCTTCTTTTCCAGCACCGAGTCTGTACACAAGTCCCACGTGCTGGCGAGAGGGCAGCAATCACCCCGTGTGCCACTGGGGCAGCCCCCACATGCCCAGGGGTGCTGGGGCCAGGCTCTGGGAGCAGCAGCATCCCCCTGATGAGCTCTGTCTGTATTCCACAGGAACCCTGTCCTACAGCCCACCAGAGTGGATCCACCACCAACGCTACCACGGCGAGGCAGCGATGATCTGGTCCCTGGGCCTCCTGCTGCACCACCTGGTCATGGGAAAGCACCCGTTCAGGAGGGGCCAGGAGATCATCTGGGGGTGGATCTTGTTCCCATGATGGCTCTCTCCAGGTGGATCCTCATCTCTGGCCACGGGGGAATACCAGAGCTGGGAAACAGCAGCAGCTCGAGAGCATCCCGCTCTGGCAGCTGCTGAGGAGGTGGCACATGTCCTGCTCTCCTGCTCTCCTCCAAACAGAGGATCCATGGGGAAGTTTAGGCCCAGCTCTGGGCACACCCAGCATGGCCTGGGCATGGGAACAGGGGGCAACTTCTCCAACTGACTGGTGATTGCTGGTTTCTCTCCCCACAGTGCCAGGATGTCATTAAGAGGTGTTTGTCCATGCAGCCCTTGGACAGGCCATCCTTAGAAGAGCTTTTCCGTGATCCTTGGGTGCAGGGTGTTCCTCTGCCCTAGAAGATGGGAGAGATCCACGTGCACAGTTGGATCCAGGGGCCTGGCAGGTAACAGCTCCACACATCTCTTGGCAATCAGTGGCTAAGCCAACCACACAGGTTTTGTCCTGCCTGTAGCAGGGCTCAGCAGAAGGGGCCTTGGGGGCCTTGAGGATCACATAGATGACAGTAGTGTTGCCTGTGAGTCCCACAGCACAGATCACAGAGTAGATCACAGGCGGGACAACGTAGAAATCAGCTGCCTGCTCCTGGAGGGTGAAGTTGAACCTCATGGTGTTTTCCGGATAGCAGCTGTTGTCTGCATTGCTGCAGGAGCTGTTCAGATCATCCCAAAAGGAGATGTTTCCCATGCCTATTAATCACAGAACACCCTCAGATGCCACTGAAAGCCTCTCTAGCCCAGGAGTGTGAGAGATTTTTTGTTTGGTTGGGATTTTTTTCCCCCCTCCTGTGTGAAGCAGCTGTTACCTCATTTAGATGCAGCTTATTTTCAAAGGGGAGCTGTGAGGCTTCATGGACCACCTAACTTACCTCTTCCCCTGTTAGATTTTGAAGTGACGAGGGGAGAAAAAATGTTTGGATGACATAAGGCTCCATGAACCAAGAAAACAAGAGAATAGTGACTTTCTAAATAAGTCAAGGAACTCTTCTTTCTGAGAGCATTCTGGTGAGCTTTGGCGTTTCTTTGCTGGGGAGTTGAGCGGCTCCCGTTCAGCTGTCTGCTGTGAGAGTTCTTCAGGGGCTGGCCAGGAACAAAGAGGCAGAAGGGGGAATTTCGTGCCTGGCTGGCTGTTCACAGCCCTTGGAGGATCTGAGGGACGGCTGCTGTTTCTCTGGCACAGCGCTGGCTTCCCGGGCAGGAGCAGAAGCGTTCCAGTGGTTAATGAGCGCCTGCCTTTGTGTCGGAGTTCAGGCTCTTCTTGGACTGGGATTTCACAAACAATGAAGAAGTTTCTGACACTGCTACTCCCCACTCCCGGGGTCCCCTAGCAAAAGAAAGAGGGGGAAAAAATAGTTCAGGGAGTATTTCTGAAATTAGCATTAAAGGGGATTACCCTGCAATCAAAGTACACCTTTAAGCAAGGGTGGGCTATGAACTTACTCACTCTGAAAACCATCCCTAGTACAAACAGCTGCCAGCACCCCAAATTTGGCACAGACGGACAGACAAACCTGTTAATCTCAGAAGTTCAGGATTAACCAGGGAAGAGGGAGAAAAGTACCCTGAAAGCAAATCCACTTTAGAGCCACAGCAAGAATCATTCCATCTGCAGTAGTTACCACATCCATCACTATTGCCTGACCCATACTTCCAAGAATTCCTCCACAGGGAATGAGCAAACAACTGACCCCTACCCCCACCGTAAAGATCAAAGGTTTGGCAACCAGTCTGCAAAGAGAAGTGCCTCACTTCTCTTGCCATTTGTTGTCGCACAGCAATCAAGTGAGTGGGACTGCCGGCATTGGGGACAGAGGGCTGAAGCGTCCCTTACCTGGGAAGCGGCTCCGCTGCCTCCTCCAGCACCTGCTGCTTGCACTGGTGAGCCTCTTCCCTCTAATCCGAGTTGGAGGAGGGTCTCTGGGTTGCTGACGTACTGGGGATTTGCAATCAAGGCTGCTCTGGGGGAGTTTGGCTGGGTTTCTCCAGCTGGGTCTCTGATCCGGCTTTGGAAATTCAGATGTGCATCCGGAGGTGCAGGAGTCCTGTGAAGCTTGTCAGAAATCCACCCCAGGTTATAGAGCAACAATGTAAGATTACTTTACCAGCATGTCCCTGAAGAAAAAAAGGAAAAAGGAAATCAAGAGTCTTTTGAGTCTCCTTTAGCCTTTAAAATGTTGCCTGACCTTTCTTTCAAGATAAGGCAAAGGAAAACACGGGCATCCATCACTGCCATACCCGGCTGAGTGCATTTAACCAGGAGAGTCAGCTCATAGATCTGTAGCCAAGAACTGTGTTCCACTTTGCTCCTCTTCTTTGGATGTTTTTATATTCTTCTGGCAAGGTTATTGTGTACCAGTAGCTAGGTGGGAGTAAACCATTTCATTGCACTTCTTAAGGCCATGGCTATAACTGACTTTTCAGCAGATGGGAATTTTTTTATGTCCAAGGTACAACTCTTCAAGGTATTTTCTGTACCTTGGCCAAAATTTAACCAGACATTTGGCTTAAGAAAAATGAAACAGGAATTGTATTGTCTAATTATATTGCATAGGAATGATATGGATGATACTTCTTCAGATGAAACACCCCTGGAACTTTCTTCTTGCCTGTTTTGGGAAAGCTGGTGTGGTTTATAAGGAGTTGTAAATGAAGCAAGGTAGGTCTGCAGGGGGAATGTGGTTTCTAAGTATTGCTGTTGTCCTTTTTCAGAGAAAACCATACAGGAAGGCAGAAAAATTCAGGAGAATGTGATGTTACATTTGCTGATCTGTAACTATTCCCTGGGACAAAAGGGTCTTAAAGTAGTTTTCATCCACAATTCTTTATATTTTTTCAGCATAAAGTATATCTCTGGTCTCTGGAATAGCTTAAAAGCTGTTCTTTCTCTTCCCCAACTATATTATCTTGGAATTGGCATCATGCTGCCATGGCCAGGGGTTGTGTGCCTGGCTGCTGTGTGTTTTAGGGGCTGGGAGCTGAGGGGGCTGCAGGAGCTGTGGTGCTGATGATGCTCCCTTGTGCTTTACCCTCTGCCTCACTCCTCATTATCCATAGTGAACATGCTGTCCGTGCCTTGCTTAGGATGTGCTTGATTAAAACAACCTGTCAGAGATGAGATGGAGACTAATTAAAGCTCATTGCCTGGTGTGGTAAAGGGGCTTTTGTTTATATGCCCCAAACAAATTATTGGCACCTGCTTTTGGAGCTCCTTGCCTGGTTCTCCAACAAAACATTTTTGCTATGGGGACAGCAATTGTCAACAGATCTAAATTCATGTAGAAAATTGCTTTGCAGTAGGAACTGTTCTACCAACAGAAAAAATATTTCCTCTGTGTGAGGAAATATTCCTCCGTGCATATAGGTGTGATGGGGAGTGCTGGAGAGAAGGCTGAGGCAATGTTTCATTCTTCTTATCTTCTCTGGCTGGGCATCCCTTGATTATAAATGTTACAGTTGAAACGTAAACTTTAAGGCATTTAGAGATTTTGAGGAGCTAAGATTTTAGCTAGAAATAAGCCTTACTAGAGTTAATTAAAATAAGAATAATAAATGAGTAGGCCTTGATGAAGTTAGGAGTTAGTAGTTAACTAATAATTAATTGCTTGTCAGCACAATGTTTAGTTAGCTGGGTTTATAATGAAGAATATAGAAACTGATAAATAGCTTTTAGGAACATAAGACAATTGTGGGCCTCCTCTGTTCTGAAACCAATTGAAGACAAGGAATGGGAGTTCTACCAAGAGTTCATTTGTCACATTTGCATTGAAAAGGTAGAAAGGTCAGAACGAGGAAGACTTCATTTACTTCCTCATTTTGGGACCCCTCCCCATAAAAGGGACCACCGACCCATTTCAAGGGACAAACTACGCATGCTTAATAGCTTTTGGAGTGATTAGCATACGAAGCGGGGAATGGGATGTACCAAAATTATGAATATGCATTTGTATTTTGTATATTCAATACTTGTATGGATAAAAAGACTCTGTAATCACCTGGAAGGTGCGGTGTGTATTTGGGAGCTATCCCGCACGCTGCCCGGCGTCGAATAAACATACACTTTCTAACTTTAAACTGTTAGAGAGTTTTTGTCCGTCACAGTTGGATATCGATACTAGATCAATATCCATATTTTTTAATAAATCATTTTGGCGAGCCAGCCAGGAGGACTGCTCTCTCTGGCCGTGGGGCCGGTGGGGTCCAGGACCCCTCTGGGCGCCCACCCAGAAATTTCTGGGAAGAGGGATCCTGCGATCTCGCTGACTACCCGGGGAAAGACCAGAACCTGCTGGACTACGGACAAGAGGTATGTTTATATTTGGGGGAAGGTACCTTATTATAAAGGCAGTTAAAAAGACACGAGAGACGTCTCGTATCCGAGGTTGGTAGTCTGTGCCTCGTAGAGGAGGCAGCAGCACCAGAAGGTTGGTAGTCTGTGTCTCGTAGAGGAGGCAGCAGCAAGGTTGGTAGTCTGTGCCTCGTAGAGGAGGCAGCAGTACCAGAGGTTCAGCAGTCTGTGCCTCGTAGAGGAGGCAGCAGCACCAGAAGGTTTTTAGTCTGTGCCTCGTAGAGGAGGCAGCGGCTGCGGTGTTGTGGATTTAGATTGGAGCAGGAGTGGCTCTGATCTCAGTTTGTAATTTGGAAGGTGCACCTTAGTAATCCATAATTTGGGTGGTTAGTCTGAACCTTGGGACGCGAAGCGTCCTGTTGTGACAATTTGAGTTGTGGCCCCAAGCGCTGTATGTGTGTATTGTAACCGGATCCGTGTTTGTTTAGTGAGTTTGTGATTTTGTGTGTTTAGGCTGTGGAAAACTATTTGAGCATTGTAATTGTTGTGGTTTGTAAGAGTTAGTGTTGTGAGCATTATAATTTGTGTGATTTGGCGTGTGTTATTAATTTTTGTAAGTGTTTTAGGAGCTTTGTGAACTTGAAGTTGTAAGAAGTTTGTGAAATTGTTATTTGCTTTGCAAAGAAATATTGACCTTTGGGAGTGTAGACTGATTTAAAGTATTTGCATGGTGCTTAGATTGTGTGTATTTGTGTGAATTTGGGCAGCGTGTGCTTTTGGCTGTGAAAATTTTATTTGATATGTTGTTGGATGAAAAACTTTGTAAGTTGAATTTTTGTTTTATAGCTAGAGGGTGAAGTGAAAAAACCTAAACTACTTTTAAGATAGTCCTGGTGATTAAGAGGTCATTTGTCTCCCAAATAACTAGAGGAGAATTCAGGCTCTGTGACCTCAGGATACATTTTTCAACTGCCTAAAAAACCCCAAGTTTAGTGAGTGAGTGTTTGCTAGTAGTTTATCTTTCCCTCCCCTCCACTTCTTGTTGAAAGATTTGTGTTGTGTTTTGACTGAAGTTTGTGTGATTTTAGCAAGACCTTGTTAGAACATTTGTTGAATGTGTTCGGAGTTGTGAAAAACTTCAGAGTGTTTTTTTTGTGAGCCTAAACTATTAGAATTTAGGTCCTTTTAGAAAAAGAGAAACCTGGTTTTGCAGCTGCGAATACGCAACCGAACTTTGCATTTTGTAACATTTTCAATCAAAGGGTGAGAGAAATCTGGTGAGCAATCCAAAAATTTTTAGAACAGGCTATAGTAGCAGTTCACACAGCTCTCAGTGCAGTGTGGAGTCGCGAAATTTCGGTCGAAACTGGACTGATAGTTTGTAAAATTTCCATTTGTCCTTTGATTACAGTGCGACAGGAGACACGCTTGGCTTTTAGCTGCAAACTTGCTACAGTGTATGAAAGTTTGTTTACAGTTTTTAAACAAATTTTAACAGTAATATACCCAGAGCAAAACATAACAGAGGATTTGATTTAATGAGTGATTAATAACTTGCAATTTTTTGGTTTTTTTCTTTGTTTTTTTCTTTTTCCCTTTTCTTTTGTATAACAAGTTTTCCTCAACAGCTGCTGCTCTGAACCTTGTTTTGAAGGGAGAAAAGGTGAAAATTAACTAACAAATTGTTTTATCCCTTTTGTTTGCTAGCATAGCTATATGACCAGGACCGGGAGAAACAGGAACCGAAAGCCTGGTTCAGGAGTATTCCCCTGCCCAAATAAAGATTGTTATTGTAATCCGTGGATTGTATTTTGGTGTGTAGTCTGTCAGGATTTGTGGGTCCGAAAAGGGTACAGGTGGCTAATACCTAAGACTGGAATTTGTGCTTTTTGTCGTTCAAAGAACAAGAGGCTACCCAGAAAGTTATACAAGTTTTGTTGGTGACTGGTCAAGAGGTTCCTGGTAGCAGTAAAATATTTGAATTGTTAGAAAACGGAGTTTCAGGAACTTTGAAGAAACCAGTGGAAATACTTAGAGTTGAGTGTGGCCAGCATATTTTTGTACCAGAAGAATACCAGGTAAAGCTTAAGAACTGGGATAAGATCAAAAGACGTTTTGAAAAGAAAAACCCTGAACATAGGGGCAAATGAGAGCAAAGAGATTCCTAAGGGAACCCCTTTAGGGTGTATCTTAACACACTGGAAAGCGCTGGTGGGCTATGGTGGTAGTGAAACTAAAAGGGAACTTGTTAAATTTTCTACACAGTGGTGGCCACTCTATAGACTTGATCGGGGGTTGAAATGGCCAGCAAATGGTACTTTAGACTATGAGACTTTATTACAGTTAATGCTTTTCCTTAGGCGTGAACAAAAGTGGCAAGAAGTAACTTATGCTGATATGTTTTTCAGTCTTCGAAATCACCCTGAGTGGCAAAGGGACTGTGGGATTAGGCCACCGTCTGATCCACTAGTACTGGCTCTTGAAAAGGATAATAAGGCTAACAAGGAAAAGCTCAAACGGTGTTGCAGC